AAGAAATATGATAACCCTACAAATCTCAAAATAGGCTTCCTATGGAGCTCATGCCTCTTTCTATTTGAAACCCTGGCTAATTATCAACATATAACATTGAAAGATAAACCAAATATGAATGTATCATATAAATCTTGTCTGTATTGCACGCTTATATGATGTGGAACACAAGCACATCTCTCTCATGCCTAACAGTCTTGTTTCAGTACTCCAAAGTCACCTTGCAATGTTTCGTCTACAAAGGCTACTTTGCAGCGTAATAACTTCAAATACTTCCACAGTCCATCCAGCAGGAGCTGAGTTATCAGCTTCACACAGATACACTCCAGAGGATATGAGCAGCTGCTGGAGGGAGATACTCTCCAAAGTCCATCAAACAAACCTGAAATGACTGAAGTAGAGAGGAAAAACCCTTGCTTCATTATGGCTGGGAAGTTAAAGCATGGAGCAAAAGAAACAGGAAATCTGGACATCAATAACCAGAAAACACACAATGGTGTTAAATGATTTGTTAATAGCATAAATGTTGTGTATTTATAGTAACGTTTTAAAGTGGCTTAAAGAGGCCCTATTATACTATTTGTGGTTTTCCCTTCCCTGTAGTGTTATATAGCTTTGTGTGCATGTAAAAAGTCTGCAAAGGCTAAAATCCCTGTGTTCCCTCCTACATCCCCGCCTGTCTGAAACGCCTCCATTGAACTCCCTTTTTCACTTCAGTAACATAATGACATCACAATGTAACACTATTCTATTGGCTAGCACTCCAACACATTGTAAGTGAAAGGCTAAGAGGCGGGACATCTATAAGCAGTTGAGCAATCAAATCAGGGCTGGCCAGCTAACCAATCAGAGCAGACTGGGCTCTGGTTTCAGACAGAGGGTGAAAAGAGGTGCTGCAGCACAGGCAGTATGAGAAGAATAAAGAGCTTTTTGAACATTAAAGCATGGAGACATGTCACAGGAGAGGCACTTAATACAAATATGAAAATTAGCTAAATATGTCCTCTTTGAGTGATCTTAAATTTGTTTATGGGAAAAGATGATTATCAGTGTTCTGATGCTTCTGAAAATGTTTTTTATTAATACCTTTAGTGTTCTTAATATTGAACGCATCTGAATGCTGTAAAAAAAAGTGTATTAATAATGTCATCATGACATCAAATTAAGTCATTATGTGAAGAACGTTTACAATAATGAAGTCATTTACAATTTTGCACATTTTGGCACAATACCATATTCAACAGCAGAGCTCTTCCACTTTTGATTCAGATACAGTGAACATATTTTTCCACAGTAATTTGTAATAGACTGAAGGTATTTATTTTTGGGAAATGTATATTTCTTGTACGCATTTTTAGATCTTTTTTAATTTGAAAATTTTTAAAAAATAAAATACTGTACCTATACTTTCTTTCTACTACTGTGTTCATGTATTCACTATACACCAAAAAATATATACAATTATGCAATTTTGGTCCTGATTCTACTGATCTTGTTTTAAAAAAATTAATATAAAGTGTGTTATTTAATAAATGTTCCAACACTTCCAACACCCCTTCATTCACTTCACATGCACAAACTCAACACACACCGAGCAGAAAAAGCTTGAAATGCAAGTGTCTGTGTCAGTGAGTCTTAACAGCAGCTCGTAACATAAAGAAAACCATTTTGGAAAAACAGAGGAAATAAAATGTTGGAAACATGGCCGTTTAAGGCTTCCGTAGCATGCAGCAGTCTCTCTGCTGTATCAGTGTAACCGTGGGGGTCTGCGGACACACAGCTGATCACAGATATTATCAGGGTGAGAGTCTCCATAAACAATGCAGAAACCTTCAGTTCACATGGACAATCAAATGTGACGCTACATTTTCCTTCCTGCTGTGGCTACAGCTTTAGTTTGGACTTGGTAAATGTTACATTATGTTAGAGGAGGGGGTGTTGCCCCTAAAGCCCCCTCAGATCAGCTTATAGTAGACCGGACCCTCCCCCAAATCCCCCTTCACCCCAATCGAGAGACAGCAAGGGTGAAGAGGTTCAGCATCCTCTTCCTCACCCTTTTACCTCCTCTGTTTCCTCAACAAACCTCCATTTGCAGCAGGAAGATTTATGCACAATGTTTTATCACGATAAAAAACTTTTCTAAATAGCAGAATTATTTATACTTATTTATGTTTGCACCCTTAACATTTACTATTACTTATGTTTCAATATAATGTAGGCACTATTATTATTATTATTATTATAGTTATTGTTTTATTCAAATGTATTTTTTATTTTATTTAAACTAAATACATTTAATGTTTTTACCTTTACACACAATTATTATAATTATTCTATATTATTTTTATATTAATGATTTATTTAAAGAAGTTATTATTATGTTATAAGCATTTTTTGTTTTGTTATTCAATAATACACATAAACGTGTGCTATATTTATTTCCCTCAAAACACTATTTTAAGTCCCAGTAACTGTTAGATATTAATATCACTATTATTGTATCATTATTTGGTTGGTTTCTTCGTACATGTATCATGCAAAGATCTGTATGTCACCATGATTTCTTTGTGAATATATATATTTTTTTTATTTTGCCTGTTTCTAACACTGTTGTCCCAGTATATTCACTACGGTGTGAAGTGTGTTTTCTTTTGACTTGCAGAGGCAGTCATGTTGAATGTACACTTAATAACCAGCATGGAAGCTGCTGTATCAGAGCAGCTTCACAAGCACAGAGGATCTGAACCTCAACATCACATGTAGAGAGAAACAGCAGCATGAGAACATCCCAGAGGAACATGTGGAACTTCATGAAGGCAGATGTGTGCCGCTGCAGATGATGATAATGATGGTGGAACTATTCATCTATTATTCAATCCACACATGTTGCACATATTCAGATGATGGACTTCAGTCAAAATATGTCCTGGTTCCTAGCTAACAAATGTGATGATTTGAAGCTCTTTTTCTCATACATGATGATAAATTAAATTGTATATAGAATGTTTTTAGCTGCAGGAAATTATTAAAGAGATTAAAACATACATTTTCCTACAATTTGAGGTCAAAACAATAAATCCATTGAGTGGAAATGTTAAAAGATAACTGCAGCAGCCCTTATTTTGTGAGTAAGTAATCATTTAGCTAATTTATTTTTAAAAGAAATCCCGCATCTCAAATGTGACATTGTGTTCAATGTATTTGTTTTATATTGGTAGGAATGTTATATATGAAACAAGAATATGTTATAATTGTTTTAGTCAATGCAGGACAATAGTTTAGCAGGTATTGAAAACATACAGCATTGTTTTTGATTCATCACATAATCAATACATTAAATGACCATGACAATGCAAAACTCCTTATTTATCCTGATTAAAACTAATGAGTTGAAGATACTTTTCAGTGTGTGTTTGTGTCAGACACTGCAGTGTGTGTCTGCTGATTTATGTGCACTGCGTGCCTCCCACACACTGCAAGCCTTTGCATCCACTTTGCAGAATCGAACCTTAGGGATTCATTAGAAAAACACTCTGATTCATAACAGTATCACTAACACTTCTACATACTAACAACTGTTGTACAATACTACGAGTTATCACACGTCTGTTGTGTTTTGTAGTGAGTTTACACTGTGCACTGTTTTTCAAAGTCTCCGAAGATTTCCCTTCTGTATATTCTCAGCGTTTTTAGTTGCGCTATGTGTGTGTTAGCTGGTTGTGCTCATGGCCGGATGAAATTGATAGATGTAGACATTAAAGCACTCACCAGTCAGGGTGATGTACAGCAGGCCCGGCATGTCTGCTGCAGTGCTGCTCCTCCTCCTCGGCACAGGACAGTCTTCAGATTCAGCTGCAGATGCTCTCTGGATACACGAGGAGCAAAAACGCCGAGCTCATGGCCGTGTGCCCGAGATCACTGACCGCCTAATGTCCGTGCAGACAGACAGAGAGGCGGACAGACAGACAGGCAGGCAGGCAGGTTAGACAGACGGGCTGTGTGTGGGGCCGAGCTGCGGTCAGGTCTGCTCTGCTGCACCACCGTCGCTGGAAATAACCGCCAGGCAGCAGCTGTACTTCCTCCGGCGGCCGCTAGATGTCACTGCAGCTGCGACTCACAGATGCGTTCAGGTGCTCCTCGAAAGTAGTAATACTCCTTATCATTATACTGTACTTTAAACCAAAAACATTACAGAAAATTATTATTTGGGTAAAAGAGTAATGGAACTGATAACAAATAAACCAAGGGAAATAAAAAAAAATATATATATTTAGAGAAAATTGCATGTTTCACAATTAAATACGACTGATCACACCAATAAATAATTATTTCGAGATTTCTGCCAGTACAAATATATTTTTTAAATTGCCTGATGATAGAATTAATTATAGTGAGAAACTTTCAAAATTACGTAGTATCACGAAAATACCAAAAAACCTACCTTTAAAATACTAAGTCATTTTGAGAAAGTTTTTCATTGTGTTTTGATACAAAATATAATTTAAAGAAATGCACTAAAACATAAATACAGGCTTGGAATACAAATCAAGCTACCCAGCACTATACAATGAAAGTAATATTAATGCCAATAATTATAACTCAATAATATAACCATTATTCTGAAATTGTTCATTCTTCCTAATGCAGGACCTCGACTCGTAACAGAGTATTTCTAGATACTGGTGTTACTACTTTTACTTTAAACTTCGGGTAGATTTTAAAGAATTTCATATTTTATTATCACATTCTTCCAAATTATATCAGAGCAATTGCAATAAATATGCTCAGCCCTTTAGTAATTCCAGTGTAAAATCCTTTAACAAGTAAAACCTCATTTTCTGCACATCCTGCATTCAAGTTTTCTAATCAGGAGAGACATTTATCCGTTTAATATGCTGCATGGAGTCAGTAAGTTCACCCAGTCAGCAGAAATTAAAGGCAAAACACTGCAGAGGGATCAATTAAAGCATCCTTCATTAATGAGACGGTGACAAAACAAATGTTTGACAAATATTTAATATCAAATAGACCTACAATCCAACATTTCTTTTAAGCACTTTGTGTGGTATTTAATTAATTTTCCAACACTGCTTCATTCACTTCACATGAACAAAGTCGACACACGCCGAGCAGAAAAAGCTTGAAATTCAAGTGTCAGTGAGTCTTAACAGCAGCTCGTAACAGAGAGGAATCAAGTGAAAACACTCATCCTGTTTCTTGAATAACACGGACGTAAACATGTACATTTATTTACAATCGGCCCTACATGAGGGCGGCTAAAGAGACGGGAAGATGGAAAATGCAGGAGGAAGAGTGATTTCATCGCTGATTGTTTCTGAAAAGTGAATTCTGTTTGTTCATTTAGATGTATATACATGTTTTTCCAGTAAAAGATTTTCATTTGGGTTGTTTTACAAACATAAGCTTTTAGTTTTCATTCAAACTCTTCATCTGGTGAAGTGACTTTCTGTAAGTTCATCTTCTACATCCCCTCTTCCTCAATGCTACTTCAGGATTTAAACAGGTAAGCACAACATTTAAAGCTCCAAAAGATCATGTTTGTGGAGTGTTTTTGCTGCATTTTACCACCTTATCTTCTACCGCCTGCTTCCTCCAGCGGAACAATCATTCGTTCAGAAAAAGTCTAAACCTGGAGTCCAAAAATGTTTCTTCCCAATGACCCATTTTGGGCCATGCCATAAGAGTTCATGAAGCACTATGAAGAGAGGAGGAGTCTGTGAGGGCTCCTAGAACTGCTGCAGGATCAGTTTCTTCTTCCCGTCGTGGCTGAACTTGTTGGAGCGGAAGATGTCGCTGTCATAGAACGACGACAGGTTATGGATGTTGATCTGTCTCGCCTGGAGGAGGAGGAAGTGAAGACGGATGATTAGAGCTTGGATTTATCTTTCAACAAGGACAATGGGAAATATTCTTTGTTTTGCAAGTTGGCTATGAAGTCCCAAGATGATCCAACTAATCTATATCAGAATTAGGCATGTGACAAGAACCGTTACTAAGGTAACAAGTAGATGCCAAAATGTGTAAAACATAGCGTAGGAAACAGTCAGGGCTCGAGAGCACCGGCACTCTAGGGACAATAGAAAATGTGTTTGTGACAGAGAAGTCACCACAAACACATCCACCTACATTGTGTATCCATGTGGAAAACGGTTGAATGGTGTGTTAAAGGGTCAAAGGTAATTTATAACGATGATGTTGTGATGATATTTTCAACTTTCAAGATTTAAGTTTGGTTAGAAACTTTAATACATTTATTTGAAATGGTTTTAGAATGATGTTAAACTTCCTAAAAAAACTGAATACAAAGAGTAAAAAGGGAGAGTTTGTTGAAGTATATAGGATTTATTTGTCTGTTTTTACCATAGTTAAGAATTTGATCAAAATATTTTAACATTTGTTTTTATGACTTCATTTCTGATATTATGACATCCTTATTTTGGTTGATCTAACAAAAACAAACTGCTTATGTATTTAAGGCTTACGAAAAAGGCTTGTTTATTTATACTCTGAGTTTGTATTTTGAACAAAGCGCGGACAAAATAAATCAATAAAAAAAATATATTTAATGTATTAATTTAGGAGGAAAATCAAATTCCTATCCTTTATTTATTTATTTTTTTTTACTATGAAAAACCCTTGTTACCTTATCGTGCAGGTCTTTCTCTGCCACCTCGATGGTGTCGTTCTGGACTCCGTATCTGTTCCTCTGGTAGGCCACCTGCTCGGCCATCAGCTGTTTGAGGATGAAGAGCAGCAACTCGTTGTTGTCCCTGCGGAAGGCCAGGTACCGAGAAAACGTCTGGACGGAAACGCAGAAGACGCCCACGTTAGAGAACTCCACACTCTGCACAGGTACATTTCTCTGTGCTCGTGTTTAACCCGCCACACTCACCTTCCTCATGCTCCTCATGACGCTGAACTTCTGCGTGTCGATGAAGCTCTCCAGCATCACCCTGATGGCCATGTTCACGTCGTCCTCCAGCACGTAGTCCCTGAGGTGCATCTTGGCGTGAGCCTCGGCCATGCGGATCATGGACTCGATGTGACGCACGGTGATGGGGATGCTGCCCGTCGCCTGTTAAACCAGAGGGAGGTTTCATTGTTAAAATCCAGAGCCATTAAAGCCTTTTAGTGCAAAACAACATGACTACAGTCGTAGTCAGCTAACCCTTTTTAAATGTGCAAATCAGCATTCATATCTAATAAATACTATTGTGAAGATTTCAATGTCCATTCTAAAATAGAGCACACATCCCAATGTATCCTGGGATGAATAAAGTATTCTGAGGAAGTGCAGAATTATACACACAACTCTTATTATTACACCTTCTTCTACTTTTCTACTTTTGTCAGTGACATTTTCTAATCTTGTTTTATTGTCAGTGAAAGGTTGTAGAGCTGGGAGCCCTCACCATGGACTCTTTGCGCAGATCGCTGTAGATGCGAGCCACTTTGTCCTGATCCATCTGGTTCAGTTTGGGATGAATCTGCAGACACAATTAACTCATTAACATAAACCTTTAGGGCACAATGGTAGCAACACTTATAGCCACTATTTAACTCAATACATGGACAAAAAGACATTAAATTGTATATTTAACAACATTTAAGAGATTTGTTGTCTCTAAACTTGAAGCAGCGGCCAAATATCTGCTTTAAAAAAGACTGAAAGGGCAACTCAAATACTGGACTCCTATTTCAAGTTAGCAGGCACTAAAGGGGGTTTTCCCATGTTTCAATAGCGTTTACAGAATAGTGATTACCGAAGCACAAAGACAAACATGTGATAGGGAAGACGGAGGTGTTTAATCGTACCCGCTCCTTGGCGTAGATGATGTACTTCCTCAGGAGCACCTGGGGAATGGGCGGCACGTCGGACGTGTTGGGCAGAATCATTTCCTCCAAGGCCACGCCCGATTCTTTGTTGCTCGGGTGATGCTTGATGTGGGAGCCAACCACGAAACGTGCCAACATCTCATCCTGGTTTAGAGAAGAGCCAATCACAAGAAAGAGGAGAGGAGCAGTGAATGTCTTGAGCCACTGGTGGTCTTCATTAAAAAAACATGTGTCTTTAACGTTTTGTCAGTTCGACCCTTTCCCTCAGGACCCTTTCACAGGGGGCCAAATGATCAGCAACAAACCAAAAAAAAAAGAAGGTATGAAAAAGAATAAAGCATATTCACATTCTCATCTGTTTTCTTATGATGCTGCCTCTAAAGTTTGTTCAACTTGTCTGATAAACTTTGATCTCTTTGTTTAAATTGTTTTGCAACCTTCTGGGATCATTTAAGTAACACAAAATGCAAAATGTTAATCACATAAGTGAAAATGTTACTTATTATAAGCTACTTATCAATTCCTTTTATATTCCAAAACATTAAATGCTAAAGGGATTTGACAGTGAAGGGTGACTTACTGATCAACGTACTTTACATTTGGCATTTTGGGACTTTTCAACATCGGTTTAAATCAAATTGAATAACCTTGTCTTAAAACGTATTTTTAAACACAAGTCAAGTCTGTCTACAGTTGGATTAAAGTTATGCGAGTGTTTACCTGCACGGGGTCGACGGTGTCTCGGACGATACACAGGACGTCAAAACGAGACACGATGGGCTCCGTCAGGTCCACGTTCTCAGAGAAGGTCAGCGAGGGGTCGTACCGTCCGCCTGCAGGGAAACAAGACCACGATTAAAATCATGCACAAAAAACTAAAATTCTTAAAATATTTCTAGATGTGTTAATACACTTATACACAGAAACTGTAGGGCCAATAGTAAAAAATAAAACACGGAACAATTGAGCCCTGTCCATGATTAATAGCAAAAGGATTCCTCTGGGAGCAAACACTAATCAGTCTACAGGATCATATTTGAAAGAACTTTGATATCCAATGTTTGAGTCAGCTAGAAATCAATCCTATAGCAGCTGTTTTGATCATCAAATAATCCATTTACTCATGTATGCAGCATAAATGTCAAATATTTGCATATTCCATCTTATATAGAGCTGTGGATACATATTAGGATACATATTCATAATATGGGGATACTGTAAGATTCATCAAATCTCATTTTAGGACAAATGTCCTTGCAGAAAGAAGTGATCATAACGGATCCATTGAATGAAGATCAGCCTTTAATGTCTTTGCCAGACCAAAAGCAGTAAAGGCATACGGTTCCATTATTGCTTCAGATGGACTCATGAAACAATCTATAACAGTTCATAAGAATCAGCCTTTTTATTGTCACAACCTTCTCTTTGATTTGCATCATGAACACATATTTCCCTATCGGTAGCCTTAGTGACAAACAGAGCTCCCACAGCGTAACGTACCGATGGGGTTGGAGGCGGCGATGATGGTGCAGCGGGCCTGCAGCGAGGTGACGATGCCGGCCTTAGAGATGGAGATGCTCTGCTGCTCCATGGCCTCGTGGATACTCGTCCTGTCGGCATCGTTCATCTGCAGGACACACGTCAGTTAGATGCTTATTATTCCAACTTCAGGCACTTAACAGAACATTTGTTTAGAAGTAGGACAGTGATACTAAATAATAAAATAGCACTTCTCCCTAAATTATAATAAAACATTTTAAAAAGCTCACCTTGTCGAACTCGTCGATCAGACAGACTCCGCGGTCGGCCAGCACCAGCGCTCCAGCCTCCAGCGTCCACTCGCGGCTGATGGGGTGTCTCTGCACGTAGGCGGTCAGACCCACAGCGGACGCCCCCTGACCCGTGGTGAAGACCGCCCGACTCGACACCTTCTCCACGTACCTGCAGAGAAAAGCATCAGGTATGATGAGGGTCTCTATTCCAATTGAATCCATGGATGGATGACATGACAATAAACATATTTTCGGCCCTTTTTTCAAACTTCTGATTACATTTTTCGTCGTGAGGTGTTGATACGTACTTGAGGAACTGGGACTTGGCAGTACCCGGGTCTCCACACAGCAGCACGTTGATGTCTCCACGCACTTTGTGTTTCCCACCTGGAGAGAGACAGAAGAGAGTTTATTGGTAACAGACAGATTTGGGACGGCACCCTAGTAAAGGTATCTCTCTTCAGAAGGGTAGTCACCTGGATTCTTGGGCTCCCCTCCGAACAGACACAGGGCCAGGGCTCTCTTGATGTCCTCGTGACCGTAGATGGACGGCGCCATGCTGGCAAAGACCTGCGGATACGACAAGACGTGAGAAACAAACAAAAACCATCCGCCTTCATTACTATGTTCACATTTAAAAAGCCAGTAAAAGTGTCAAAATAGCTGATAAAACCTAGGATATTCAATTTGCAGCGTTTTCTTTCTTTATCTTTTACTATAGAAAAGCTAACCAAAAAATAAATATTCAATTTTATTTATATGTATTAATATATTCTCAAAGGTACTTTGCATATGAAGCAGGTCTAAACCGTGCCTTTAGTCATGTGTTATCCAGTTCCTCTTAAAACGTTATCTCCCATCCTGCAGCAGACGTTCAGACTATGTTTCAGACGTGTGTGAGTGTGTGCCTCCCTCACCCTCTCCCCGATGCGCTCGTCCTTGGACAGGGCGACGATGGCCTTCACGTCCTCGTCGGTGAGCTCGGCCACGGCGACGCCCTGGTCTCTGCGGGTGATGTGGTTGGCTAAGATCACCGTAGCGAACACCGGGAAGCCGTTAGCCATGTTCAGAGAGCCGTCGTAGTTGTTGTGGTAGATGCCCGTCAGTTCCTGAGAAGGAGGAAAAAGGTTTTTAAAAACACATGGTATTTAGATATGATGTTTTAGGCAAATCATTTCAAGATTCAAAGGCTTAATTGTTTGAGGCTACAGCGTTAGTTATGTGTTTAACTTACAATCTCGTCTCCGGGCTTGCAGTTGTCCACCAGGTCGGCCAGCAGGATGGCGTCTTTGGAGCGCGGGAGGCGTCCGGCGGCGACCTTACCGGGACTCTCCTGGATGGTGATCCTCTGGTAGTTCTGGTACACTGTCTGCAGGAGGGAGGGAGTGGTTAATTCACTGAGACAAATAGAGAGGTTGGTTGAAACAGAAAATCCATAAATGCTTTGCTGCTAGGGCTGCACAATTAATACAAATATCAAATTATAGTAAGCACAATATTTGGTTAACGCAAAATATGTGAAAAATCTAAACATAAGTCCCGACCAACATATGGTGTTTTACAGACTTAATAAGAAAAGGATTGGATTCGGAACAATCCTTTTCTTTTTAGTAAACCACAAAATGATCTTTTCATTATATTTTTTATGAAAAAAATATATATAATTTGTCAGAATAATTGCAAATAGTGATTTTTTTTTCCACGTCATGCAGCCCTATTTGGTTTGCATATCAAATTAAAATAATTCTGCTGATCAAAATATGTACATTTGTAAATGATAGTGTTTTTATTTGAATTTGATCTTTCTAAAAATTGCACAGTCTTACTTTAACTTCTTTTTATTTTATTTTATTCTATTTAATCTATATTAGATTTATAAAAATAAACGTGTTCTATTTTTATAATTTCTTTGAAAAATAATATTATTCTAAAATGGAGCATAAAGTATACTCTGAACAAAGTTCAACGTTTCCAGCGCTCAGGGCCTCTCACCTGCTCCATGTTGATCTCGAAGGGCCCCAGGGACTGACACTCGGGACAGGAGCCCGGCTTCACCTCCTGGTTCTGGGACTGGAAGAAGGGGCCCAGCACGAAGTTACACTTGTTACAGTTGTACTTCACCATGCCGAGCTGGGGGAGCACGCTGGTGCAGCTGCTCACCACACCGCTGGTCCGGATCAGCTGGTTCAGGTGGAGCTGCCTGCGGAGGAGAGAGGAGGAGCAGGAGATTTCATTAGTTTACTTGGCCTTCTAAAACCCTATCTGTAGACCTTGTCATCTGCATACCATGCATTATTCACCATTCCATCTGCTCATATTGATTCAGATGTCTGCAGTGCTCTCAATAGATGATGATGATGTATGCAGTGTTTGTGTACACAGTCAATCAATATTGTATATATTACTCTATTAGGCATAGAAATCTAAACTGGTTCCATCCATCAGATTGGTATGACTCTAAGGTAAAAACAAATCCATGTATTCATGCCATTATTCTTTTTAAGGGTTAAAGCGAAATAGCCTCCCTGCAGATTTTTGTGTTATTCTCTAGCCACTACGGACAGCATGTCAATATGAAACTCGTCTGGCTGCCTGCAGAAGTACCTCTAGCTGCTAATGTCTTCTTTTGATTTGAATACGCTGCTACACCCTTTATAGTATTTTTTTGGGGAGTTATAAACTTAGTTATCTTAAAATGTGTTTGCTTTTTCTTAACAAAAAAAAAGTATTTTAATCTTATAAATCCAATTGTAATGCATATATTTAAAGTCACATGACCAACTGTTATCCATCAATCATTTTGGGGAAATTAACAACAGAGGACAGATATTGTACATGAATGTGAGTGAAATATGACCTGAGTGAGCGGATCTCCTCCACCAGCGGCAGGTTGCAGATGCGGACATGAATCTCGTGGGCAATGCGGTCGTATTTGGGGTACATGGCCAGCACCACCTCTTTAGCTGCTTC